TAACAATGGGATCAGAGGGATACAGTAAAGTAACAATGGGATCAGATGAAGACAGTAGAGTAACAATGGGATCAGAGGGATACAGTAGAGTAACAATTGGATCAAAGGGTGATGGTAGTGTTACAATTGCATCAGAGGGAGACAGTAGAGTAACAATGGGATCAGAGGGAGACAGTAGAGTAACAATGGGATCAGAGGGATACAGTAGAGTAACAATGGGATCAGAGGGAGATAAAAGTGTAACAATGGGTTCAGAGGGAGATAGTTTAGTAACAAGGGGATCAGAGGGAGATAGTAGTTTAACAATTGAATCAGAGAAAGATAGAGTAACAATGGCATAAGAGGGAGATAGTAGTGAAATAAGGGCATCAGAGGGAGTTAGTAGTGTAACAACTTGGATCAGACGGAGATAAGAGAGTTATAATGGGATCAGAGGGAGATTGTACTGTAATACTGGATTCATAAGGAGTTAGGATTTTAACAATTTATGAAATAATTTATACTGTACCAGGAAATGCAGACACCATGATCAGGTTGACAGAATCCTCCTGTCGGAGTTTTGTTATGTCACCATAGAGCAACTGTATCTCATATGTGCCAGTTGGCGTCCACATGGATATGGTATCAGACAGTGTTAGGTCCATTGTTTGAGGATAACAGTCAACTCATCTGGAATTAACAACCATGCAACTTTTAGAAAAGTGTACCACTAAATTAAGAATTTTTATTTTTCCAAATACTTGCTCTTTGGTAAATTAAAACAATGAGGAGCAAGCTTCACTACTGGTCAGTATGGCAGTTATTTGTTACATTGAAGAGCACAATATGCATTTGAATAGAGATACGCTGCGTGTAAGCCTGTTGTTCTCTGGCTGGAAGAAAAAAGATCAATATTGAAAAATGAAAATGTTTCAAATGATTCTTAACAAGTGTATTTATCACTTAATTTAGCACTTAATTGAGTATAGAGTTTGATTTATATACAAATCACTTAAATATTATATTGTAAGACCAGAGTTCTAAGGCACCATAAGGCCCCATTTACCATTTTAGCCTTTAATATTTTTTCTCAATTTCTGCAATACCTGGAACATCCCACAGTTGCCAAACTCAGACAAAAGAAAACTTTGATGTTCACTAATAATGGTACATGTATGATGTAAAATTTTCAAAAACGGAATATTTCATGATAAGTTAATGCAACACTATGCCTTTTTTCAGCAGAGCCATTTAAGATAAGGTTGTTTTGGGATATTCATCACATTATTTGAATGACATGCAGTGCAGACTGCATTCTTATCTGTTTTCACAAATTATTTTCTGCAAAATACAAAATTGGTTTTAGATACGAAACAAAGAATGATCATATTATTTTGTACCGTACATCTCACAATAGTGACAGGATACAAACTTCTCCCATTATCTCTGAAATAATAGGAACGTCAATCTCAATATGCATACCTTCTCTAACTCTTTGAATATGTAATGACAAAATCAAAAACACATTGTTAGCTATTTGAATGGTTTCAGGAATAACATCTGACCAATCAGAAGACTGATACATTTAGGTAACAGAAAAGTGACTGCTGTCTTTAAAGCAGGTCAATTAATTTTTATTGTTGTGGCACGTCAAAGAATCAAACAAGTCAACTTGTATCATACACAAGTAGCTGGGTGCAGAGGCTTCATTTGCGCAATGACATATTTCACGAGTGTCAAGAAAATAGGTGAATAAAGAGCCAAACCAGTGAAATTCAAAGACGATCCTGCACCATATCTTATGCATCATACAATAACACGGCGATATATGATCTACATATATGTCAATTTCAGAAGGTAATATACCTGATGAATTAAAAATGGCTAAAGTTAAGCCACTTTTTAAGAAAAATGACCGAAGAATGGCTGAAAATTACAGACCTGTTAGTATACTCAGTATTGGTTCCAAAGTTTTAGAAAAAGTCATTACAAGCAATTTTAGAACTACCTTTTAGAATATAAATTACTTTTTGAATTTCAGTCAGGTTTCAGAAGCTCTTTTTCCACTGATACATGTCTTATCCATCTTTTAGATCACATTAAATGTCAAACTGCAAAAGGTCTTTTTACAGGAATGGTCCTATTAGACTTTCAGAAAGCTTTTGATACTGTGGACCATGAGATTTTGTGTACTAAACTCTGTATAATGGGAATTGGATCTATACCATGGTTTAAATCATATTTATCTAATAGAAAACAGATTGTTAATATCAATGGTTTTAACTCAGATTTATGTAATGTTACTTGTGGGGTCACCCAAGGGAGCTTACTCAGACCACTTCTTTTCTTAGTCTATGTAAATGATCTGCAAGTTAGTATTGACAAACAATGTAAAGTTTTGCTTTATGCAGATAATACAGCCATACTTTTTTCTCATATAATTCCAATGTTATATCAGATAAGCTATCCAAAGCTATGGAAAGTTGTCATGATTGGCTGGTGGATAACAAACTATCACTTCACTTAGATAAAACTGAGAGCATTTTGTTTGGGCTGAAAAGGAAAATACAGAACCTGAATATTAATGACTTTATTGTCTGGTGTAAAGGATATAAAAGTGAAGCCAGATCACGTGTAAAATACTTGGGTAATACTCTAGACAGGTTTTTATCTGGCGAATCCATCACTAATACTATCATTGCTAAAGTAAATCAAAGGTTTTAATTTCTGTACAGAAACAGCTGTTGCTTTTCTCCACAAACCAAGAAAACTTTATGTTCTGCATTTATTCAGTGCCACTTTGATTATGCATGTTCTTCATGGTATGAAGGTCTTTCAAAGAAGCTCAAAGATAAGTTACAAGTAGCTCAAAATAAAGTAATTTGATTTGTTTGAAATCTTCATCAGAGAAAAAGTGTGACATTTTTAGTATTTGAAGTTTTTAAAAAATTTGTGACCAAGTAAGACTGAATCATTTTTTAAATATTTTTCATGGAAAGTGCCCAGACTATATGAACCATGGTTTTACACGTCAAGCTTCAACTCATTTTATTAGATCTAAACAGTTTGACTTTTATATTCCTGCTATCAAAGGGGTAGATGCTTCAACTTTTTATTATAATGGTGTGAAGGACTGGAATATGCTTCCTGGTAATATAAAGCAAGTTTCAAAGAAAAGCAATTTAAAATCTCATGTGAAAAAGTATTTTATGGAAACTGCAAAGGACAATCACAAAAATGATTTTTTTATTCTACTAAAACCAATGTCATTTCATTAGATTTTCCATAATTATTTTAAATATCTGTGCTATCTTAGATATGTATGTGCCAATATTGATTATTTAATTTGTCTTAACCGGAAATGATATATGCTCTTTTAATTACATTGGACCCCATTTCCCGGAAATAAGTTTTATTTAAACTGTTATGGGTTATCCAAGGTATAAAGGCCAACTGTCCATTTAACTTACTGTGACTACTAGTACTACCTACTGTGATAAATTCTAGTCTGTAAAATTGTGTATGTCTTATGATTGTATGTTAAAATGTATCACTTGTGAATTTGTTATGCCTTTTACCTGAATAAACATTATTATTATTTACAGCTTCCACCAGAATAACAACGCCATCATATATTCATATGATATTCCATTTCGTATTTTAAACAATTAGATTTGGTAATACAAACAAATGCTATCACATCTCTAAAAGATTACAGGTGCTATACACACAATACACACAAAAGCTACTTCCCCTTGAAAGATCAACACACAGTAGGTAATAAAACGTGTGTTATCGTTTAGACGCAATAACCGATTTCTGTTATGCCCTTTCATCTACTTACATTTTTATGAAATGTCAAAGGTATACGTATATATCATAATTATACATCACGCAGTGACAAACATCAAAACTCTGCCTTTTATCTTTTTAAAAGCTACATATCAGACATATGAAATCATAAAAAGGCACTGAAAGCGGTAAAAAAAGTGTACGAAGCAAATCAAATGCGCTATAATCATAAGCAACCACGCACCTGTATTAAAGTGTAATCTTAGCGGACAAAATACAGTCCATCTCTGCACCTTTCATCTGCAACTTTATTTGTTGATGACAACCACCTGGAGCTTCCGGTTCCGCCTACTGTAGGTGCGTTCGATTAGGAAGTACTGCTGAATGCTTATAGTACTTTGTGCTGAATTTTGATCATAGTGATATCATTATTCATTTGTGTGTATACGGAATAATGCATATTTAAAATCCAAGTTTAAAAGACTGAAATAAAAATCAAAAGGGTAGTGAGAAGGATGAAATATTTCGTTTGGCAATTCATTCATATTTTGCTCGTCGTCCAGTCCCCGGCCCTTAAACGAACTATTGTTTACTCTTGTTTATCTTAAGGTAAATTGGAATAGCACTACACTGTTTACATTTTATATTGTTACTGTATGTGACGTTACTTGGTTAAATAAAGTTTCTCCACTCTTACAAAATATCATGGGAGACATACCAACTAAGACAAGGATAACACGAGGGAGACACAATGGATTTATACATATCTTATCACATAACCTAGTGACAGTCGTTTTAGAATGAAATACCCAAAGTATTCATGTCCATGTCTTGCTAGATTTGTTTTCATACCGTACTTACCACTAACAGTCATGACAAACGTCTGCATTTAAGAATCCTTGCAAAGACGTCATGTAAATACCACCCTTTTATTTGTTCAATTATGTGCACATTGCTTGCTTAAATGTATAAAAGTGATTGTAAGCCTTTTATTTTTTGTTTTCACAATTATAACCATTACTATTATCCAATGTTGTAGAGCGCTTTAGAGTAATTTTACAAATTATATAGGGCGCTATATAAATGTGTTATAATTGAAGGGCATTTCTTACCGATTGACATAGTTTGTAGATATATCCAGTAAAAAAAAAATATTTCTGAAAATACATTTGAACTTATATTTGGGTACTGAAATCACTTAAAGTTCAGCAATGACGTCACAAAAAAGTGATAATAGACGTGGTACGAAAGACTCCGAAGGGACTTCGTTGAACAACAAACACTGGTTAGGATAAAATGATCTTTACTTCATTACCTTTGAGATCCTATATATCTCGCTTTCATTTTTCTTTCTAATTCAATGGTGGATTAAAAAGTTCAATCTAACATCACATTCAGTATACGGTGAATAATCCAATGCTCAACTTTGGGAATCATTATTTTATACTTTGGTTACAAAATTGACCGTCATTAGTTGGTCTTACGTATCAAACATATATATATATACATATATAATCAGGGGACTATTGGTTTTATATAATAGCTATATTTTCAATTATAGTATATCAGTTCTATCTTCTTATAATATGATGTATATGTACATGTAACTGTTCTGTTTCACTGTGTCTCGATAAAGGAGCGGATCGCTCCGAAAATTTGACAACCTAAACTTGTCCACACTGTTGGAATTACTTCTTTGCCCCTTATATATATATATATATATCAATATATACGGACTCAATATAACCACCGGATTTTTTTCGGAATTCCAACAACATTCAAAAATGTGTATCCCTATAAAATGTTCTGTGTTTACTGATGGGGAAAATTAAAGTGGCACGAAGAATAACTCCCTCTGCATCGTCGTCCACACAACTTGTATGGAAGCCTTCTAGTATGAAACTTTATGCACATACCTATAGAATCAATTATCCGATAAGTTCATTTTATAGAATAAAAATCCGAAACTTAACATCGGCCATCTTGGATTTTGTTTAAAGAAATAACACTTGCCGATTTCCGTGCGATGACTTGTGAGGGACATCTGTGTCATCGTTAGCTGCGATAACGTAGCTTCTGACAACGAGACGTTTAGGGGCAGAGGAAAGTTCTAGATATAATCGTTGGGATGCTTGGAGATTCATGAGAGCATGCGACACACCCACTTCCATCTAATTATTCACGTATTTGACAAATGTGAGATGAAGCCTGATAACACTATAGTTTTAGTATCATGTGTATTAGATGGGGTTTTTTTTATCATTGGCTTAATTACATGTAACATGTGTAAGGTATTTCGCACTTTGAGACATGGTTAGGCTTATTACAATATATGAGGTAAGAAAAGGTAACAATGTGCGCTTAACAAAATAAAATACCAATTGATTAGACCTGCTATATTGTTTGTTTTGTTTACGCATTGTTGAATGTGAGTGTAAAAAATGTGGATTAGTTATGTTGCCTTACAAGCGTCATTCCTTTAGCTCAGCGGTAGAGCATCGGGCTGGAGAGCCAAGGGTCGCGGATTCGAGCCCCAGCGACGGCACGATCTTAATCACTATTTCTTGTCCTATTACAGGAGTCCAACACTTTTTCTAGCAATACAGTACAGTTGTAATGTAGATTTATTTCCTTCCGCGCCGGTCATATAATATATAATAATATATACAATTTGACAATTATATGATTGCAGCTCTGTAATTTGAAAAAAAAAGTTCTTGGTTTTTGAATTTCCAATATAATATGGTTGTCTAATTAGCTTAGTTCATTTTTAAAGTTAACGTTACCTCGGATTTGCTGAAGTAACATATTCAGGTAGTTAAATCCATGTTGATGCCGATCTTATTGAAAAAATGAGTTTTACTTAGCAGATTGAAGGAAATTAAATAAGGAACAGTTCATCATAACTTCAAATTCTTATCATTGAAGCATTAAGATGTCATTTTTCGCGGGGGATACTGTAAACCGAGGTTGTTTTATACTGAGTTACTTCCCTTTGTTTTTAATCTTCTGTTACTGAAGGTTGACTTTAGTGATGGAAAAACTTCAAAACAAACCATGGACTTTTCAGATTTCACATTCGACGAGTTCAAGCATCGAGTTTCTGAGCGCGTGTCCAACCCAGATGTCACAATGGTATGATTTATAATTTTAAGAAAGCTAAACTGTGTTCATTTTGTAGCATGCGTCCAGTGCAAACGCCACAACATTCGTATCGTTTGGATGTCCTCTGCCCACTGGTAATGAGTTGAGTATCACGGCCGTTCATCACGGCCCCTGGCAATCAGTACGAAGTTGGTTTACTGTATATATGTACGGCTGTAAGGTCAGCTACGATGACGTTAGTGTGTTACATATCGTTACATATTGCAACATAATCATGAGTAAGTCTGCATATTTAAACTGGTCTAGGTCTGGCAGAATCGTGATAGTCTAGATCTTGGCCTTGACTGTCATGTATTGTAATTAATCATCTATTATCCTTACAGTGAAGAGTTGTCGTCTGCTTTATTATCAACAATATATACGTATAGATGACTTCGGTTTAAAACATTGACAGCATGGAAAGTTGTTGGAGCTTGTTGCAGGTTTGACTGATTTATATTTTTTCTTATTTCTCAAAAACTAAATTTCTTATGTTTATTTTTGGTGGTTTATTTTTCTTCGGAAAACTGAAACATTTCACAATTATTTATTTATTTATATATATCTATTGTGATGCAGGATGTGCACTCATCCATAGTGGTGCAAATTAGACTAGTGACGACAGAAATCTCAATTAAAAAGAGGTATTTCCTTTGAATGACTGTTCATATGGAATAATATCTACGTATACCTGTCTTCAGAAAGTGAATTAAGGGGTTTTGGCTAGATAAGATTTAAAGAGGTTGAGTGATCATGAATGAAAACCAATACATAGATACATAGATTTTGATATGAAAAATTAGAATTTTAGAATTCTTTGACAATCAGCTCTAAAAAAAATGTATTTAAAAAGATGCAATGTTTAGATTTCAATTTTCTTTAAACCTGTATTTCTGCACTTGGTTTTTGCCATTGTTCATCCAATTTATATTTAATCTGTTCAACTGTGCTTGAATTAACACGTGAGGCAGAGGACTGTTCCATAAATCAACAATTCTCTGTGTAAATGAAAATGTTTAATATTTAATTTTGAATGAGATTTGTAAATTTTACTTTTGTTTAGTTTCAGTTATGTCCATCATGTGTAGATGGAATTTCCATGATTTTTAATATGTCGGATACTTCACAGTCATATTCCCCTGACATTATTAAATGACCAATAGATTTCCTAGTTTACTGTTATTTTATGATAATTGTGCTGTATGGTAATATATATATAAGGTATATAATATGGGGCAAAGAAGTAATTCCAACAGTGTGGACAAGTTTAGTTTTCGAATTTTCGGAGCGATCCGCTCCTTTTTCAAGACACAGTCAAACAGAACAGTTACATGTACATATACATCATATTACAAGAAGATAGAATTGATATACTATAATTGAAAATATATAGGTTATTATTAAGGTATATAAGTTTAGAAGTGCTGTGTATTACCAGATATGCAACTATACAATACTGTACAGATCCTGATACATGCGATTATAAATCTGTAACAACATTCACAACAAACTATAGAAATGAAGGCTTTGTGTGTTTCCCCTCTCCCATCTTTGCTAGATTTAAAAGTCATAAAACTAAAATAATGCTGGGCAGCAGCTTTAAATGCTGCCTTCACATTAACCCATTCACCCCTAGAGTCACATTTGAACCTTACAAAATCAAAGTCTGGGCAAGACAAGCCTGAATATGTAGGGGTGGATGAGTTAATACATGTACGGTATTGTTCTCTGAAAGCCTATATCTTCAGAATTATAGCTGTAACTGAGCGAGATTGAGTTATCTCAGTCAAGGGCTAAGATTCTGTAACATAATCCCAACCGAGGCGTAAGCTGAGTTTGGAATGTTAGATAACCTAGCTTAGTCTGAGACTGATAAAATTAAAAGTTGGTAAATAAAAATTTATCTCAGGACCTACTGACTTAATAAAAGCCATTTAATTGCACAGATAACCTTAACTTAAAGCTTATTAATCAAGTTTTAGTTTAAACAGGTTATTCTATATACAATGTACACATATGTTTTTCATGAAGATCAAGCTGTACACAATGATATGAACATTTCACAAAGTACATGTATATATGTTGTGCAAGAATCTTACTTCAGTTTGTTAATTTCAAAAGTATACCATGACATGTAAACAGACTACTTGGTTGTGCATTTTTGTAGTATTAAACCTGATGTATGATTTTGATTTATTTCCCAAAATATTGTATTGAAATTGGGTTGCTGTGATATGTTTGATTGTCTGTATACCTCAGAAGTGTTGTAAACAGGCAACAGATGGCAGATGTTTTGACAGAGTATCTATATAATACTGACAACTGTGCACTAGAATTGATCATGGTTAAGTGTGTGCCTATACACATAGGTCTACTGTCATATCTACCTAGAGTGGTAGGTCATGACACATATATATGTCCACTCTCATTATCTTTAAAGCTATCCTTGATTTATCTGTCAAATTGGTCACTCAACCCACCTACATATTTTTAAAACTTCTGAGCTTTGTCAGTAGGCATGTTAAATTTAAATACGAGATGTCAGTTGTTGTTTATCTGTAATCAAATGTTTTGTCAATATACATCTTGAAAGTAATTATATATATATAAGCAGCATTGTCCTTTACATATCAATATCAGGAGAATATAAATAGATGAAGTACATGTGTTTCATACCAGTAGATCCTGTTACTATATATAGCTGTAAACTTACATTCTTAAGTACTTTGTTTATAACTTTGAGTGGTTTATCACATAATCAAACCGTGACTTTTTTAACATTCGAGGTTGTGCATGCCTGGATGAACAATTTTATACTACAGTTGTAGTTTACATAATTTTAATCCACATTGTCATCCACCGGTAAGTAACAGCATACATATATGTACTTATTTCATTGAAAACTTTCATGCTCAAGCCAACCATCATTATATATACCTCCACAATGTGGTTAGGTGTGTGTGTGAGCTAGGCTGTCTGTCCATCCAGTTGTCAGCACAAATCTTATCACTGGTATATATCTTCACACAGTTTTTAGCTGAGTTACATAAAATTTCACATTTTGAAATTATACACCTGTGATTAAATATTTTGATATGCCACTTTTTTAAGGGGCTGGTCGGGGGAAAATTACAAAATAAATGGGTCTAAATGCGTTCTCTGGCCTTCCAAAAGTTATACCACGGCAGTATGATGTTGAGGTCTGCTTGCAATGTTCGGTTTTGACCACTGAAATCTCGGGGAAGCCCGCGTAAATTTAGCGCAGATCTATTTATATATGTCACGTGGTTGTTTCGAAAGTGAGGCAGTGTAGATAACAACAATAGCACACCGTCTATCAGCCATGTCGGACTCAACTAGTGGACAAGACAGCAATGCTATATGTAAATAATTGTTTTCAAAGGTCATGTATGATGCAAGTGTAGTATTCCAACCTATATGTTGTTGTTATATATAACGATATTGATACATAGTGCCTGTCATGACTTTTGCATGCATCTTTTTCTTTTGCCGCGATGTTTACATTTGGCCTTGTTAATGACGCGCATGCGGTAAAATTACATCACTGATCTGGGTCAAATGAGAGTTTTAGAGTGTCAGGTGATGATTTAGGATTTCTTTAATATAATTATAATATTTTTACTCTTAGGGAGTGAATTTCAGCAAAATTTGAATCGGTATTTTTCATAAGAAGGTATTTAAACATGTGTATGCCATTTTAGCAAATATGACATTTTTTCCCCGACCAGCCCCTGGAGCTATATATATGTGCCCATATACATTTTGTTAGAAGTACTTCTCCTTACCTTCGCAACAAATATTGAGGAAACTATATACATATCATCAGTACTGACTACCCAACATTGCTGTGCGCTTGTGATTTACTTTGGATTTCTACTACTTCTATAAGAGTAATGCCACTTCTGATTTTTAGCTCACCTGGCCCGAAGGGCCATGTGAGCTTATGCTGTACTGCAGCTTCCGTTGTCCGTCCGTCAACTTTTTCTTTAGAACGACTTCTTCTGAAGAACTGGAGGACCTAGGAGGCCAGGAGGTACCTGGGATAGAGTGCTATAAAGTTTCCTCATTAAAATGATCTTGACCTGTTTTCAAGGTCACAGGGATCAAATATGTTAAAAACTTCAAACAACAATATCCCAAGAACCATTTGGACTAGAGTCATGATACTTGGGTATAATATGTTGACCAGCAGTGCAATTGTTTTTCTTAATTACAGTAATGAGGTTAAAGGTCAACTTTAAGTGCTAGTCGGGGGGGTCAAAAGTCAACATGGATTAAAAGCTTTAACAATCTTCTTCTCAAGTTCCATTAGGCCCAGGGTCATGATATTTTGGCTAGTAGGTACCTGGGATGAAGTGCTGTAAAGTTTCCTCATTAAAATGACCTTGACCGACTTTCAAGGTCACAGGGGTCAAATATGTTAAAAACTTCAAACAACGATATCCTAAAAAGCATTTGGTCTAGAGTCATGATACTTGGGTATGTTATAAAGACCAGCTGTGAATCGTTTTCTTTATTACAGAAATGAGGTCAAATGTCAACTTTAAGTGCTAGCTGGAGTCAAAGGTCAACATGGGTTAAAAGCTTTTAAATTAAAATTGAGTGAAATTTCAAACAACAATATCTGAAGAAGTGTTTAAGAGATGTTATAAAAATATAAAATGTCTTGTGTTCTAGTGACCAAATTTGGTCTGAAGTTACCTTTATGTCAGTTTCATGTAACAAAGAAACAGATGAGCGATACAGGCCCTCTGGGCCTCTTGTCAGTATATAAATTTTGTCAAAAATAAATTCTCTTCTTGACAAATGTTTATGAAACTTTGTACATGTGATCAATACTAAAGGTAATGGAGTGCTTGGTGAGCTTGTGATTAATTTTGATTTTCAATATTGCCCCTTTCTGATTTTTCTTTGATACGTTTATTTACTGTAAATATTTGTTTTGTGAAGTATTAGAATACTAATAATTAAGATTTTCTACTGATAGCTGTTGTAATTTTAATGGTCTTTTGACATGATCATGGATGGTAATTATGTAGAGAGCACGCCATCTATACACTGTTATACAAAGACATTTTTTATTTATCAAATATATCCAAATTAAATATTTAATTATAAATATTATCATGTGTTTATTTTGCTGTCTTATGTTCTCCCACAGAGTATCATGATAGCACTGTGTGTGGCAGTTGTAACAATACTGGTTGTCCTCTTCTTTGGAGTATGGAAGCTGCGTACCAAAGGTAAGCGCAGGTACCAAATGTACATGTATACAGCACTCTTTACAGAGACTGTACATGTGTACGATAAACTGATATTTTTGTAGTCGGGCCCAACCAAGTATACTACATTATCCAGTAACTGCTATATATTTTACAACTATGAGTAAATAGGTAATTTATTAGATAATTTCTCGAGAGTACAACCTCCTTCAATGTGGTGCTACAAAACATGTACTTTGGAGCTAATCACATGTGCACATTCATTTTGACATCACATTGTCTAGATTGGAGAAAGTAATAATGTACCATATTTCTTATTGTCTTTTTAACCTTCCACTTGCAGTGCTTCCAAGCCGGAGTGGTGTGCCTCGGAAACCTCGTTTCAGAAAGAGAGACAAAGTATTGTTCTATGGGCGCAAAATGCTAAGGAAGGTATGAAAGCAGTATCCGATATATTTATGCATCTCATGTACATCTTGTATATATCAAATGGCAGAGTGGTTAACATTTAGGCCTTCCATGTAAACAATCCACAAAGTCATTTTAGCTTGTTCTTCTGAGAAACTCATGCCAACACAACTCCTGTAACCCTGATGGAGTATTAAATGGTCTAGGGTGGGTGCTACAGTGTCTACTATAACATTCAAGTTTGTTAACATTAGCAAAATAGGAGCCATTGGAAGCATGGCCACACCACAAACCATTGATATGTCTCCAGCATACACACAGGAATATATGCTTGTGGAGGTACTTAGCCAAGTGCCATAGAGAACTGTGCATGATAAGTCAGCTCCTGCTAAATCCTCAAATTGAGAGTATGAGTTGTATATCTGTGTATTGTACAGTATTTTAGAGTATAGCCTACTCTAGCTAGATAGGGCACCATACCATATGTTGCATCGTAAGAATTATGTATACCCAGTAGTTTCTATGTGGAGTCAGTGATTTTAAATGTAATGTCATGAAATATCTTAGATGTTTTGTTTGTTGAATGAAGTGTTATAGAAACCAATTCCGATGTATGTTTTCACATGAAAATCAATAAATAATAATAAAAAAAATATGTTTGATATGCATTGATATATTTACACTCTAGTATAGTGTCTTAGGATCCAGGTTTGTTATATATTTAATGAAATGCATGTATTTCCACAGGTAAGGAGTTTTACTAAAAATACAGTGGGAGCAGCATACTCTGGTCCTGGCCGAGGCAAACTGAAAAATAAACAGTTAGTGATGAAATTAGCTAAAAGGTAGGTTTGTGTGACTTGATGTAATCATTGTAATCGCTAATCAATTAGGCTTATTTCATGCTCTTGACATGTTATGGAGAAATTTTCACATATTTATTCTGGATGATTGAATAAGTGTGAACATGGCAAATGTGTTCAGTTTTCAAATTGTGGTCTGTACCATATAAAACCAATATATCACACATGTAAATGTACAATTTAATTTTAAAATTTGTTCCTGATATTGTTCATTATTCTGAATACATAATCTGATTTATGTTATGTTAGGATGTGATGTCAACCTGTGGTAAACACGTACAATCTTAAGATAGATATTTCATCTATAAATAGGGAGGAGTGAAGGGAGGATTTAAGGAGTGGATCTTAGATTATACATAAATAAGAGTCAGTGTTATAGGGAGTCTCAGATTATACATACGAGTCAGTGTTATAGGGAGTCTTAGATTATCCATAAGAGTCAGTGTTATAGGGAGTCTTAGATTATCCATAAGAGTCAGTGTTATAGGGAGTGTCAGATTATACATACGAGTCAGTGTTATAGGGAGTCTTAGATTATACATAAGAGTCAGTGTTATAGGGTAAAGGGATCTGTTTTACTTTGTCTGTTAGGTTACTACAGCTTCGAAACAGGAATGCTTTACCACAGCGGAAACACACAGAGCCTCCACAATCCTTCCTGGAAACAGACTCATCAGAGATAGAGGAGCCAGACCACCGTTTACCCCCAGAGGTCCTGTACATGCTGCGTAGTACCAGGTACACACAAACCATGGAGACAAACTAATGTGTACTTTGTACTTAGCTAGCCAAAGGCATCTTATTTTCCACAGTTACCCTTGCAAATGTGAAATTTACCTTTTCCTCTTACTTGCTTGTGTCAGCATCTTTATAGAGTGTAAAATAAAATACCACTCCTGAGAGTAGAATAATATCTTGCTTTCGCACAGGATATTTGTCTGCTCGACCATTAAGTACATTAGGAAAGCATGAATTGAAATTCAAATTTGTTATTTGTAGTCATTACTTATATATATATACGCTGGTTGGTAGGAATTTGACAGTTAACATACATATTCCACTGACATAAATGGAATTACTGTGTTGAAATTTATCTGTGTAAAATAATACCGTCACCACAGCCATCGACTAGTTACATTGACAGTCTATGTACCTTGCTATAGAAGTGATGTCACAGTCATGACACTTGCCCTCGTATTCTTTTATGATTTCATTGTGAGGAAGATTCATGCAATGCAAATATAATACAGCTGATGAGAGTGTATCAGGTCATTCTGCTCTTCTCAAAAATGTGCTTACATTTTACCTGTAACGGCTGGCAGAGTTAGACTAACTGTAACCAAATTCATATACAGAAGTTTATTAGATGATTCTTTTTCAGATAAATAATTTTGATGAAATGAAGTCTACAAAACTATGTAACTTTGCCATTTCCTATACTTGCTTTTCAGAGTTTTTGGCCATTTTGAAAAACCATTATTTCTGGAGCTTGTAAAGCACATGGAGTCCAAATTTATAGCCCCCGGTGGTTACCTGTTTAAAATCGGAGATGTGGACGACAGTATATACGTAGTACAGAGTGGCAAGCTACATGTCTATATAGCTGAGGCGGTAAGTCATACTACAGTGACATCTTACTAGGAAAATACATTAAAACAATAGAATTTAAAAGAAATATACTATATGTGCTTTTGATTTGTTATTTATTCAGACATAAGTGATGAAGTTCATATGTCATGGTATTCATGTACAGTATATATGATTTATGTACTTTAATATTATAATGTTCAAGACTTATGGTCGCAGGATTTATAGTAAGCCTATGGTTATCACATCAGTTTTCGTAGACAGATTATATAAAACTAAAACAAGGTGTTCATTATACAGTACTCGTGGCTAATTTTCCATTTAATGTTGACAATTTTCAGATACAACAAAATGATATAGAGTAAAACATTCTGCTCGCTACTTAAAAATACATATTTTTGCCTTAATCTTACATCAACACTTTTTGTGATATAATTTTTATCGTAAATATTGATTATACTAATTAAAGTTTCTAATGGATTTGAGTGTGTTAGAATATGCCCTTTCCTTAAAGAAAACAAAAAGTTACACTGCAAAGTAAAATTTATGCAAGTTCAAGGTGCCTTTATAAGATCTGTTTTTTTAACTGTAACAACCTTAGATTAATGTTAATCAAGGTTAAATCTTAACATTATGTAGAGATGGTCATTCAGTTAAAAACATCAGACAAGCAAACACAAATCCTGTACACGTACCAGTAAATAGATCACAATAATTAATGTGTGTGTGTTTATTTCAGGAATCTGAATATTTTGTTAAAGAAGTGAACACTGGAGACAGTATCCACAGTCTGCTCAGTATTCTGGATGTACTTACGGTGAGTAGCTTAGTAGCTGACCAGGCTTTGTTGTAAACTACATATACAGTATCCTCCAATAAATTCTCTAGTACATGGATAAAAATCATAATTTGGTTATTTGTATAAAATATCCAAACACAGAAAAAATCAAAAAAATCTCAAGTAAAAAATAAATCCTCTTTTGTATGTTTTCAGGTATTATTTGTAAAAAAAATCATGATAATATGTCAAAACATTTTGCAGGTATTTTTGATATTTTTCTCAACTTTTCAACATAAATATTGAAATTACTTCTCAAATTAATCTTATTTCTACCCAAAGTTGAATCACATGAAATGTACAGTGTTAAGAAACTTGGCATGCTACTGATAGCAAAGGCCACCATTGTTTTTGATTGGCTGAATCAGAAATTAAGGATTTATCTAATACTATTTTCATGCCCCTAGGGTCCCTGGCCCGAAGTCTGATATTAGAAGTCTGTTATTGATTCTAATTTACTATGTGGATACCATCTGAATAAAAACAGGTTTATTGATGGATTAGGTACTCGCACATCACATTATTAATGTGACCTAATTTTGACTCCTTTTCTGTTGATTTCATGTAGGGCGTTGTAAGTACACCATACCTCTCACTGCACCTATATATAGTTTATATACAGGAGTTTAACCATCCTTTAATTTCACCTTGCATCTTTACCATATTTTGCCATGATCATAATTTATTAATATATTAAAAACAAATGTACATATTTTCATATTAAGAATACATTTAAATCATCAGATTCTTCAAACCAATAGACCACATTTGGCAGATTGCAATTGCCATCCCAATGAAAATGACATCTTTTTAATGGGATTAAGATATTATTATTTAATGGACCAAAAACACCTTGCAGAAATTAATCAGAATTTGATTTATAGGAAAAGGTTAAGATGATTTGATAAATCTGAAATGTTTAATTTATTTTTTACATTCATGAGTTTCTAGGACCCCTTTTTGGAGATGTGGTTGTCCTACTATGTCCATCCACATTTTCATTTCCAGAGGTTATTTTAGAGTCCAGAAGTGTAGATTTCCTGAAATTTCACTTGGTAATATCAAAATGATGTTCTATATGAAGCTATATATAGAAATGCAATCTGTATTTAGCAAGTTTTTAAGTTCAATGTCACTGTTACTAAAAATAGACTGGGGGAATACGTAGATTGTTAAAAAATGTTGTATGATTTTTTTTGAACTGTTAGTGTTTGTTTTGCTGGTAAATGGTACTTTGTTCACTCAGATTTCAAAAATTGAAGATGACCACTGTCAATGGCTTCTGATTGACTTAAACATATATATGGTAAAACTTTTGTTCTGTTGGTACAATATGGTTATATTTGGTGGTAAATGGCACTTAATGGATAGTTTATGTGGTGAACAAGGACATCTTATGATCCATAATCATATCATGGCGACCATAGATTTTGATTGGCTGAATCAAAATTGGGTTATAACTTTGGTTTTTATCTAGTGGTAAGTTGTACTTATGAATGTTGTTAGCACCATAATCCTATTTATGAATAGTTGGACCTCTGCTTTTTGATTAAGGAGGATGTATACAGTCAGGCACAACTGAGCTTTCAGTATTCTAGTTCTCTGCTATCTGTCTTAACACAAAGCTATCATCTGTATGTGGTCATAAACAGAAAACAAGACCAGTGATTTTATATAGATGTCCTGGCTTCATGAGTAATCCAATGCTAATTACCTGGTATCAGCTTTATACACTTCTGACTGAGAGCAGTCGTACAACATTACTGATTAACAGCTCTGAACAAAGAGTAAACTAAAACATTGCTGTCAGGGAACATTAACTGTTGTATATTTACACTTCTGCTGCAAATTCCTGTATAAAGACTACCAAAATATATTGTATTTATAGTTGGTTCATTGTCAATTTGACACATATCTTTCCACTTCACTTAACCTAAGACTGTCATAAGAAGCAAACATTTAGATGATGTTATGCTGTCTAGGAATATAGGTTATTGAGCAGTTTATTTTAGCATTCATTTCAGTTTGAAGGCACAGATGTTGAATAATTCCTTTGAATGACATTACCATTGATCATTGTGTAAAGACCTAAACCATAGATACACAAGGATGGTTCCTCTTTATACTACAAATAGATAAACAAGGGTGGTTCCTCTTTATTAGGTTACCAGACCATAGGTCATGGTAACCTATTGTGATAGCCTTTTGTCCGTCGTCGTGCGTTAACTTTTCCTTGTGAACACGATAACTTCAGTAAATGTAAACCGAGTTTGATGAAACTTTATATGCAATCATATATCAATAAGATCTCGGACGAGTACAAAAATGGGAGTTATTGGACAGTAACTTACAGAGTTATTGCCCTTTGTAATATTATTATTATTGGACCTTGTGAACACGATAACTTGAGTAAATGTTAACCGAGTTTGAGTAAATGTTAACCGAGTTTGATAAACCTTGTATGCAGCCATATATCAATAAGATCTCGGATGATTTCGAAAATGGGAACTATTGGACAGTAACCTACAGAGTTATTGCCCTTTGTAATAATATTATTATTGGACCTTGTGAACACGATAACTTAAGTAATTATCAACCAAGTTTGATGAAACTTTGTATGCCGCCCTATATCAATAAGATCTCACATTAGTTGAAAAATGGGAAGTATTCGACAGTATTGCCCTTTGTAATAATATTATTACACTATTTTGTATTGGACCTTGTGTTCACGATTACTTGAGTAAATATTAACCAAGTTTGTAATAATATTATTATTGGACCTTGTAAACACGATAACTTGAATAAATGTTGACAGAGTTCAATGAAACTTTGTCCGGTAATTATTTGACGTAACCTGCAGAGTTATTGCCCTTTGTCATTATATTATTATTTCTCCCTATGATGTTGATTGACATTACACAAGAATAGATGTAAATTCATGTGGTTCATTCATGATGCATTTTTGCTACTAACAAGGTGCTATTAAAAAGTTTGTGCCTTAATTAATAAATCATTGATTAACTCTTTTACTTGTTTCTTTTACCCAAGAACAGAAGACATACAGCTACCAAGTTTGTTCAAAACAGACCCCTTGGGTCAAAATTGGAGTCACACCCATTTATTTCAGTTATCGTGTTCACAGGGTCCAACAATAATAGAATTACCAAGGGGAATAACTATGTAAGTTATAGTCAAATTGGTCTGGTATTCAAACTCATCCAAGATCTCATTGATACAAAGCTGCATACAATGTTTCATCAAAATTGGTTCTTATTTACTGAAGTTATTGTGTTCACAAGGAAAAATTAATGGACGATGCAGTAAGGTCACTCGGACCGACGAAAAGTATGAATTGGCCCCTGGATGACAGTCCTAATTTGAATCAGATGTCAGGTGACGGTTAAGGCCCATGGGCCTCTTGTATTATATATAGATTAATAAGGATGGTTCCTCTTTATATTATATATAGATTAACAAGGATGGTTCCTCTTTATACTATATTGAGATAAACAGAGGTGGTTCCTCTTTATATTATATTGAGATAAACAGAGGTGGTTCCTCTTTATATTATATATAGATTTACAAGGATGGTTCCTCTTTATACTATACTGAGATAACAGAGGTGGTTCCTCTTTATATTATATATAGATTAACAAGGATGGTTCCTCTTTATGCTATATTTAGATAAACAAGGGTGGTTCCTCTTTATATTATATATTTGATTCACAAGGGTAGTTCCTCTTTATATTATATTTAGATAAACAAGGATGGTTATCTTTATGCTATATTTAGATAAACAAGGGTAGTTCCTCTTTATACTATATTTAGATACACAAGGGCAGTTCCTATATTTTGAAAAATAATATAAGGGTAGTTCTTCTTTATGCTATATTTAGATACACAAGAGTAGTTCCTCTTTATACTATATATAGATAAGGGGAGTTCCTCTTTATACTATATATAGATAAACAAGGTGGTTCCTCTTTATACTATATTTAGATAAACAGGGGTGGTTCCTCTTTATACTATATTTAGATAAACAGGGGAGGTTCCTCTTTATACTATATTAAGATACACAAGAGTAGTTCCTGTTGATACTATATTTAGATACACAAGGATAGTTCTACTTTATGCTATCTTTAGATACACAAGGATAGTTCCTCTTTATACTATATATAGATACACATGGATGGTTCCTCTTTATGATATATATAGATAACAAGGGTGGTTACTCTTTATACTATATATAGATACACATGGATGGTTCCTCTTTATGATATATATAGATAACAAGGGTGGTTACTCTTTATACTATATATAGATACACATGGATGGTTCCTCTTTATGATATATATAGATAACAAGGGTGGTTACTCTTTATACTATATATAGATACACATGGATGGTTCCTCTTTATGATATATATAGATAACAAGGGTGGTTACTCTTTATACTATATATAGATACACATGGATTGTTCCTCTTTATGATATATATAGATAACAAGGGTGGTTACTCTTTATACTATATATAGATACACATGGATGGTTCCTCTTTATGATATATATAGATAACAAGGGTGGTTACTCTTTATACTATATATAGATACACATGGATGGTTCCTCTTTATGATATATATAGATAACAAGGGTGGTTACTCTTTATACTATATATAGATACACATGGATTGTTCCTCTTTATGATATATATAGATAACAAGGGTGGTTACTCTTTATACTATATATAGATAAACAAGGTGGTTCCTCTTTATACTATATTTAGATAAACAGGGGAGGTTCCTCTTTATACTATATTTAAATACACAAGAGTAGTTCCTCTTCATACTATATTTAGATACACAAGGATAGTTCCTCTTTGTACTATATTTAGATATACAAGGATAGTTCCTTTTTATACTATATTTAGATACATAAGAGTAGTTCCTCTTTATACTATATTTAGATACACAAGGATAGTTCTACTTTATACTATATTTAGATACACAAGAGTAGTTCCTCTTTATACTATATTTAGATAAACAGGGGTGGTTCCTCTTTATACTATATTTTGATAAATAATGGTAGTTCCTCTTTATGCTATATTTAGATACACAAGGGTAGTTCTTCTTTATGCTATATTTAGATACACAAGAGTAGTTCCTCTTTATACTATATTTAGATACACAAGGATAGTTCTACTTTATGCTATATTTAGATACACAAGGATAGTTCCTCTTTATACTATATTTAGATAAACAGGGGTGGTTCCTCTCTATACTATATTTTGATAAATAATGGCAGTTCCTCTTTATGCTATATTTAGATACACAAGGATAGTTCTGCTTTATGCTATATTTAGATACACAAGGATAGTTCTACTTTATGCTATACACTTTGTATTTAGATACACAGGGGTATGCTCACCAAAATGTATTAAGAAATAATGGGGTTATCCTCTTTTAATGCAGTTAGAAATGTAAACATGTTCAGAATATCACCAGTATTCTGTGCTGTTGTATGCTTTATGCTCTCAGTTTAAACTTTTAGTTTCCTAGCACTGAATGTATGAATATCTTTGCACTGTATAGGAATGCATTTTCTTTTTCTTACAAAACATTGTTCCCAAAGATTGCATTCAAATTTACTTTGCAGCTGGCTATCAAGGGATTTGATTAATTAGGTATTTAATTTATGTTTTCAATTTCTCCAGAAACATACAAATGTATAGGTCATGGAAATAACCACATGTTCAAAAGTGAATAATATTTCATGGAAAATATAGGGAACAATAACAACAACGCACTTTGAGAAGCTTGGAGCCAGGTGCCATTGATTTGTTAAATGGAATTGGTATTACTATCATTGTTGCCAGGTTGTAAATATAGTGTACTGTATACTGGGGAGTTTTTGCTGAAGTTTAATTTTTGCCTTTGTCACCCAACATAGCATAGCATAGCATTTAACTGTGAAAAGCAAATTTAACACTGGGTGAATTTGGATTTCACATGTGAAGGTTGAAAGGGTGAAAATTTCATGGAATAGAGTATACACTTAGAAACTAATATACAGTTGCCCAGGCTAAAACTTACATTTGTAGTTCTCAAGTGTTAGGTATGAAATACATCCAATTGTGCTTGTATATTTAGACTTGGACCATCTGTGATAAATAAGCTACAGCTTTAACTACATCACAGGCTCACAGCCTATTATCATTTCTGTGGTAAACTTTGATGAAAAGTAGGCTAGATATAGGGTGTCTACTCCATTGTATAAATTAATGGTTTTATTTTTTGTAATCATTGATGAACAGATATATCAATACCTTTTTAAGGGTAGACTTTAACGTTGTTTGATTTATATTCTATAAGAAGTGCATGGTAACATGAGAGATAAACCTCCGTATGTGTTTTCAGTGCCATGCCCAACCTTTTAAAACCGTTTCCGCAAAAGCTGTGGAAGAGACAACAGTATTGAGGTAAGATTTCTATCTGTAATCACATTTATTTACCGTTTTCCATTCATCAGGTAAAACACAAATGAAAGCTTAAATTTGATTTATATTCTTTTGCTATGTCATTGCCTTTTAGCAAGAGGATGGGGGATATGGTGTTACCCATGTCTGTCCCATCATGATTCATTGTCATCACTCTGCCTGCTTCATTTCATAAAAAAAAAAAATCATTCAAGTTTATGCAAAGGTCAAGTATGAGAATAGCTTGGAAGATTTGGTATTTCAGGGTCCCAAGGTCAATGCCAAGGTCACAGTTGATATTTATAGGTGCAACTATTGCTATTTTGTCAACAGATTCATTGTCAATTGTCGTCAGTTTACGAACATTATAGTCACAGGGACAATCATGTTTTACAGACATTTTCTATTTGCAAAATTCTTCATTTTCTAAAATCCATGTTGGTGAATTGTTTTTTTTGTCAGTTTAATATAGAAATTCCTATATAACTTGATACATGCTACTAAATACTGTACATACATGTAAATAAAAAATGTTTGTATTTGACATTCTCTATATCAATTACAGGTGTACAATATATATTAGCTTTAGTTTGTATTTGTCAATTTAAATATTGTTTGTGAAATTAATTAATTGTTATTTACTTTAATTTTCAATATGAATGAACTACCAGTATAAGGTGACCAGATTATAAAGAAGAAAATTGTACAGTAGAGTTCAGCAAAGAAACAACAGCAGATGAATTTATTCAAATAAATATTTGTACAATTTATGATCAAACACGAAATCCATATCTTATTAACTAAAATAGATTTACAGTGCTGATATTCCAAGTCACATAAGACCACTTCTTATATTCTTATAAGATATGGCAAATAGATTCCCTTGTACATATATTATAAACATGTAATTCTGTACGTGCTGGTCAAATGACGAGATGAAAAAATGTTTTAAACAAAGAAGAAATTTTCAAATATATATGTATGTCTGGGGTTCACGCACAGATGTAAACTACATACATTTATACATATATGTGGTTCATTCATGTGTATATACTCTCTGGTTCATAAATATGTCTACATTTGTACTGTTTCTTCTCGGACAGATTGCCTGCTCTTGCTTTCCAATCCCTATTCGAGCGATTTCCAGAGTCTTTGGTCAGAATTGTACAGGTGAGTAATGAATAGTTAGTGTTTGGTTGTGAAATCATTATCACTGGCTGTGTCAGTCATGATACTACTGAACTATGCTTGTGAGACCGACAGCTTTAGTCGGATTGATAGACTAGTTAACTGACCCTTTTCTTGAAGTTTAAGTAATGGTTAAATCACGAGTTGGTGGTGGGCCAGCCAATGAAAGCACTTCCTGTGAGGGGCTGAATGGTAACCGTTGGATATATGAATAGGCCACAACGTATCCAATGCCTAGCTGTGGAATAGGGAAAATACATAACTGGTGACACAATAGATGAAAGTTTTCAATTGAGAATAAGTGAAACACCTTACAGGAAAACTGCTCAGTGAAGAAAAAGAATGTTTATCGGTTTTAATTTTCATTTACAGATAACTGATTCATTATTTTAAAGCTACATAGGCATTGTTAAGGGACATGGAGCAGTTCTCCTGATTTTTATTTCTGATTTGTCCTAATTTTCCAGATAATTATGATACGACTACAGCGAGTGACATTTACTGCCCTACATAACTACCTGGGCCTCAGTAACGAACTCATCAGTCCAGTAAGTACTTAATGTGATATGTCTTCCTCGTCAGGTCCTGTCTAGGTGTCATTGAGTTTAAAATGTCACCCAACTACAATCATATAACTCAAAATATCACCAAAATGCATCCTATAATTCAAAATGTCACCCAAGTACATCTTTTTACTCAAAAATTGTCACCCAAATATAATCATATAACTTAGTTGTCATGTGAATAAATCAAATAACTCACAATATTAGCTCCAGCCCATAATGTCACCACTCACAAGCTTATACCATATATGTAGCTTCATGTATTTTAATTCAAATAATCAACCATATATACCATCTCACCTTGATATACCATTATTTTTTTAAAAAGATTAATATACCATTGAATATATCAAATTCTAACCCAGAAGCACCATTTAGCTCAAAACCTCACCTAAATATACAATTATCTCAAAATTTTACCTAAATGTAATATTTGAAAACCTCACCCATCCATATACACTAACTAGCTCAAAATCTAACCAAAAATTCCATTTCTCAAACTCTTAATCAAAAACATTATCTATGGTAAAAATCTCTCCTAAATCGATCATTCCATTTTTTCAAAATTTTACCATCATATATTATGTTGAAAATTATCTTACTGCATCCAATTTTATGTGTGCCTATACTGTCTAAATAAGTATATCAAACCAAACCTGATTCATAGAGGACTTAATCACCAGTATGCATGATGTATTGTGAGTGTAATCGTTTAAAGTAAATGAACTGGTTCTCGACAATGCCTGCTGGCAATAAGTGAAATGAAAAGATATGTCTGTTTAACAAGAATGACTATTCTATTCAAAGGCAAGCCACACTGAGGCGCGAACCCTCTCAATCCACACCATCACGCCGCACTCGAGTCCACATAAACGCCAGACAAGTTTTACACCCTCCTCATCAGCTGACATGGAAACTATGAAGGCTTCCTTCATGGACGGTAAATCATATGTCTTTTTAGTTATCATGGCATTATTTACATCCTAAACATCTTCCATTTCTCAATCCGTAAGATTTTTATGCCATTATCATTAGATGGTGCCTTGTTTAGATCAACCTACATCTGTGGTCTGTTGTCTGGCCTTCTGTCACCCGCCTGTCCTTAAACAATTCTTTTTAGCAATTTTTCTCAGAACATATTGAAGGGTTCTTCCTCAAATTCACATACAGGTTTCCCATGTTCCTTAGTTATGCAAATAGAATATTTGGACAGATCTGCAAATGAAGAATGTTACCTCATGGTGCATACACTGTTTACAAGACTCAATCCAACAGATAAGTGAACAGAAGAGAGAAAAAACAGCCCTACATAGAACTAATGAAGTTGGGTGCAAAGATTCTTTCTGGGATCTCTTGTTACATTTTTATGAGAAAAAAATAATTTAATGTTTTTCATATGACAAGATAGAACATATACAACAACATTTATTTTGTATCAAATCTTCTCGGGAAAAAATGATTAAAAAGAAAATATAAGGGTGACTTGTGGAAGGAAAAATAATTAGTTTGCTGTAAATCTTAATGTGTTTATGTATGATTTACTAGTGAGGAGACAACACTCTGAGGGCAGTGACGTGGATAACCTAAAGTCTGACTTTGACACGGCGCGTATGCGGGCTCGTGCACTCAGTGCATCGTCCAAGGTAGAGATTGAAGTAACACCATCCAGTTCTACGTCTGTTCAGAGACACAAGGTCAAGAAAACAGACATGCCTACATCAACATCATCTCAGAACACCAACGAGGAGATGGTCCTCAACCTGGCTAAGAAAGACTTAATCACCCTTCTCAAACTTAAAGTAAGAAGCTTGGGGTCATTGTTTATATCACTGTCATCAACGCTAACTGCAAACTCCCATCCCCTTCTCAGTTTGAGAGACCTGAGTACTGCACTGTTTACACTCAATAGACAGATATCAATATTGTCAATGCTGTTAATTGAGTGACCTGAGTACTGTACTGTTTACTCACAATAGACAGATATCAATATTGTCACTGCTGTAAATTGAGAGACCTGAGTACTGTACTGTTTACTCACAATAGACAGATATCAATATTGTCAATGCTGTTAATTGAAAGACCTGAGTACTGTACTGTTTACTCCCAATAGACAGATATCAATATTGTCAATGCTGTTAATTGAGAGACCTGAGTACTGTACTGTTTTCTACCAATAGACAGATATCAATATTGTCAATGCTGTTAATTGAGAGACTTGAGTACTGCACTGTTTTCTCTCAATAGACAGATATCAATATTGTCAATGCTGTTAATGTTTTATCCTGGTTCATGTTACTGTTTGTAAGTCTGTGGTATGTAAGTAGATCCTGACTAGTAGACCTTTTTATACCTGTACAAAATGTTGAACACCCTGTAACTCAAACATTTTCTATGGCCCCAATGACTTGTTAAACAGATTCCACTCAACGTTCAACTGAACTCATTGTATTTTAATATTAAAAATTTATTTGACACAGGATTCCACCATATTGGATGACAAGGTGTACTTACAGTACATCAAGGCTGGAACCACGCTGATCAAACAGGGTGATCAGGTAGGACATTTACTCCTATGTAGGACACCTTATGTAGGACACCCTATATATGTAGCAGTAGTTATATGTGAGGTATTATTTTATATTACCGATAGTGGCTACCAGAATGACAGGAAATACCAGGTGAAAATTTATCAAATCATGTCTGATAACAAAAAGATACAAGCCACAAAATTTAACCACTTCAGTAAAGGAATGTTTATCAGGTAAGGAAAAATATGCTATTAATGTTTCATAAAGGAATAACCAGGGTAACACAAGACATGCTGTTCTACTGTACAACAGTTCTTGGTAAAGTGGATGGCTGCCCATAGGTGACTTTATGTTTAACTTTGGTTTATACTCTATAAACAGCTAGCCACGTACTAGTAAGAGGCTCACTAGTGCTGACAGCTGCTTTTGTAAAAGGAATCTATTACAGGAATTCCATTGCTTTAATAGTGTAACATCATTAGCAATATGAATTGACAATCAAGCATATGTGCAATAAAAAAAAATGGTATTTCAACTATGAAACAGTGTTTCAATGTTAACGGTATTGTTTAATTAAATATTGTTGGAAATATTTCAGGATGCAAGTCTCATTTTCCTCATCACTGGAAATTTGCTGATTCTTCAACAAGTCGTTGGAGCTAAAGAAAAGGAGGTCAGTAGAACTAACTGAATAAACCAAAATATCATAATAAAAAATGCCTAATTAATTAATAAAAATATGAAAATACAAACGAAATATACTATTAAAATGATAACACTATGTAGTACTTTGCAGTTTAATATATTTAAAGAATTCCCATCTCTAAAATTGAAAGAAAATGGTTTTGATCACATCTGAAATTTTCCTTTTACATTACTAAGTTATCTAGTATGTAACTATGCTATGATTGACATTATCTTAGCTAGCAGTCCTCAAACTGTTTTGAGTATTTCCTTGCTTTATGTTTCATCTATCCTGATTGTCTCCCTTGCAGCAAGCCTTGTTGTTTTGTTCCCAGCCGGGAGAAATGGTAGGAGCCCTGGCTGTGTTGACTGGAGAGCCATCGTTCTTTACCATCAGGTCAAAAACTGATGTCCGCATTGTCGTCATCTCCAAAAATGATTTCTATGAGTATGTAAATCATAATAAGATATTTTGTTTCTGTAAATGTTGGGATTTTCTGGATGACATTGAAAAGTATTACTATCTATGTAAAATGATAAAACCAATATACCTGGGGGTACTATTTATCTGGATCACATTGAAAGTATTACAATCTATGTAAAATGATGAAACAAATACAACTTTTATTCATAAATGTAATTCACTTACTGAAAGGGATGAGGCTGTTAAAAAATATGTCCGCGTTATTGTTGAAAATAATGTCTTGTTTGTTTTGACAGGATAATGCGGGTTCAGCCAGATGTGGTCCTCAATGTTGCTAAAACAACACTAGTGAGAATGACACCATTTGTACGACAAATTGACTTTGCTCTCGACTGGATGTTGACAGAGGCAGGGAAAGCACTATTTAGGTAGTGTATGATATCTATAAACCATTGAAATACTTCTAATCTGCGTTTATTTTTTCTGTATATTAATGGTATGAAATGTTCTGTTACAGACAGGGAGACCACTCCGACAGTATATATATTGTCCTCACTGGACGGTTTCGGTCCGTGATCACTCAGAAGGACGGTAAGAAGGAGCTGGTAGCGGAGTATGGCCGCGGGGAACTTGTTGGTATCGTGGAGGTCCTCACAGACACTGAACGCACCACCACCATGATGGCCATTCGGTAATCTTCTCACAATCATCATACTAGTAAAATCAGATTACCAGTAAAATCAGATTACCAGTAAAATCAGATTACCAGTAAAATCAGATTACCAGCAAACTCAGGTTATCAGTAAACGCAGACTACCAATACTTTGTTTGTTTCAACTTGGAATTTATTGTTACACCCCATTATAGGGAAGTAGCTAGCTGTCTAGAACTACAAGTTTAAAAATGTCCTAAGTGTTTCTTTATCTCTAAAGACTGGGGACTAGTTTTGTTTACTCAATGGTTCGAAAGAAAATCTTCAATTTATTCAGAAATTTAAACAGCAAGTTATGAAAATGAATTTCTTTAAAAAAAAAAGGGGGGGATAAAAATAAGAGAATAAATAAATATACAAAAAAAATGTTTAAAATATGCCTTTCTGACTGTGTTACAGAGACACTGAATGTGCTAAACTACCAGCCGAGTTACTTAACTTGATAAAGAGGAAGTATCCACACATTGTTACTCGACTCATCCATCTGCTAGGACAGAGAATCCTGGGACATTTACAGACATCGCGTCAACAGGTCCCACTTGGAGGTAGGCATCGGACTATGACTTTTAAATACAGTTGAAAACTATGAATGTTTCCCAGGTGTCATTTAGATAAGCACTAATCCTGTTTTGTAGAACTAATAATTACGACACACAATATGTAATACTGTATGCTTTTAACCATTTATATAATCATGTCAGTTGAGTATAGATGTTTTTGTTCACTTTATATCATTATTTGACTCCTAACGAATCTGTCGTCCCCTGCACAACAATAACACATCGTAATATTGTAAACTATAATACTGTTTCTGAGTGTGCTTCAGAGAGGAGTTTGCAGTAAAGTTTGTCTAATGACGAGGTCTGATCAGACATTGTCAGACATTGTCAGAACTCTCTACCACTTCCTAACTTCGTCTCATCCTGTGAACTTTATAGCTCTTGCAAATGGACCATTTTGAATATTTCATAATGTTAAAGGAAAGTGTTTTTCATAACAAGAACATAAAGATACTCCTATAAGCAGGTTGTTGTAGGTAAATAACAACACTTTTCATTAGTGTATAACAGTTATAAACTAATGAAACGTTTCACATGAGGTTCTCCAGCTATGAAATCCACATAAACAATTATAGAATCTTAACTGTTTCTAAATTGTGACAACAAATTTGCATCAGGACATCAGATTGCAGTAATATGAAATTTTCGAAATAGTCCATTTTATAGTGAAATGATGTTGTTTGGTGTATTAACAGAATGTTATATCTTTTTTGTTAGATCTCATTGCAAAAAAACATATAAGATATACTTTGAATTAATTTTAAAAAAAAGAAGATTACATTGTTTTGACATTGCTTGCTTCTTGCAGATACCTATCATATCTATTGTATTTTTTTGCTTCTACATTACTTTTCTATGTAACTTGAAACTGCTTACACATAAAAATTTCATACATTTAATAAATCAGCCATTATTTTGAAGATTTTGCTGTCGGAATAAATTTTTGAAATTCAAAGAAAAAATATTATTCCCAGTGTGTACTAAATGTGTACTAAATAAAATTACAATAGAAATGATGGAGTCCTACCACTGAGTCACACGGTTGACTTTACTGATGGTAGTTGACATTAAATATATGTAACATTTAGCTTAATAATTAATGCTGTGGTTTTTGTATCATTAAATTGCATGCTGATATTATTTCTATGGTTACACACTTGCAGCTAGCATATTTTTAGATCCGCCAAAGCACCTGCTACCTCAGGACAGCGACACGCCCTCTCACAGTGCCGGTATGTCCTCGGCTGCGTTGCCGTGATGTTGGTTTCTGTTTCTTTTCGACTGTGTGTAATCAGAATAACACTAACTCTGTACATATGTATCAGCTAGACAGTAAACAGATTTCTGTATCAGCTTACAGTTTGTTTGTCCTTGTAGGTTCTATATCATTTAGTTAGATATAACGCTTGTACTTTAATACACAAGAAAAACTGTTCAGTGTGAAAAGGAATATTATAATAATTGACTCTTCCTCTCACCTTTTATTCAAAATTTAGTTAAAGATTGACACTGACATTACAAATGCAGCAAGAAATAGCATAGATTTTCTAGATAACTTATTCTAGTACATACAAATTTAACAAGCACTTAATTAAAAACTGTAAAAAAGCATTGTACAGTAAACCATCTCATGCTATTCGACCACCTCCTTTAGGAGACCACCAGTGTTAAGAAACCACTGTTGATGTTGCCCATTGTAGCAATTTCATTGCTTACCTTACATGTATTATCAGACCACCTGCCTAATTAAAGAGACTGCTTTTGCTCTTCCTGAGGGTGGCCTCTTTATGCAGGTTTGACTACATACCAATGGTACACTCCAACATGAAAGCAGTCTGCAAATCCTCACAGCAACTTCATTAGTTTAATAAACGTTTAGTTACGTGGTGTTTTGTTAGTCTCACCTAGTGTTGAAATGAGAGGATTCTACATCAACATACCTCAATATAATGTCAACATTGCCTGTAAAACAGGACCAACAGTTAAGAAAACTTAATGCCCCTCCTTGGAGGTGAGGTGAGGGTGAGATATGTATTGGAGGGGGGGGGGGGGGGGGGGGGGGGGGGGGGGGGGATCACAATAACCAAGATGCCTAGAGTAATGATATTTACCAAGTAGCATGCTGGACAATGGAATTTCATGTTTATTATCCCCCGCTTTCACCGAAACAGGGGATATTAATTTTGGTTTGTCCGTCTGTCTGTCTCACACTTCGTTTCCATGCAATAACTACAACAAATGTTAACCGATTTTCTATAAGCTTGGTCACAGGGTTAAATGCCTTAAGGGCTATGCCAAGTTTGATGACCACTTTCAGCAAACCCCATTTGGCAGAAATATGGCCCCTTGAATAACGAAAAACATCATTAACTGCCACGCTTTGTTTCCGTGCATTAACTATAACAAATGTTAACCAATTTTTTTCAAACTTGGTCAAAGGGTTAAATGCCTTAAGGGCTAAGCCTAGTTTGATGAAGTTATGGACCCTTATGGACCCCTGCCGTTTCTGTTCATTAACTCTCGCAAATATTATCCGATTATCCTAAAACTTAGTAACAGGGTTCATTGCATTAAGGGCTCGGCCAAGTTTGATAACCACTTTAATCGAACTCTATTTGGCAGATTGATGGCCCCTTGATTAACGAAAACCGTCATTATTATCTTTCCACCCATCTCGGGCACTCTTTGGTTTTCTTGTGATAAATGCTGTAGATGATAAATGCTGTAGATATTGTTAAGATGTTTCAACCAAATTCTGTATGCACATCCGACTCATGCTAAGTTTGCCAACCGATGTGATTTATGCATATTTACGGATAATCAATGAGGTATAGGGCTTTTTTTTCTTTCTTCAAGTTTCAAGCTATACATTATGTCTCAACAGCACGATACTTACATGTTTAAACTTAACCTCATTAATGTTAACCTACAATATGTCCTGCAAGCGGGGGAAATAAGTTCCACGAATTTGCTTGTTCAAATAAATGTGACCTTTACCCTCTTTCCAGGTCACACTGGGTGTTAAAATACTTGAAAAAAACACAGTGTTTCAGATAGGATTTGAAAAGGGCAGGGCGCTGACCAGAAAAAAGAGCACTTTTTAATGTGTCAGCAGGTTTTTGGGGCAATCAATGTATAATTATAAGTTACTTAATAAATGTGCCATCACCTGAATAACCAAGAAGTGTATGGTGATGATATTTGGTTTCTGAAGAGTAGAATTAAGCGAACAGGGTTTATTGTAATTATTGTAGCTTAATAAATATTGTAAAGTGCGCTGAAGTGTTGGATCTGAATGAATGCCCTACACCAGATTTGAATATCAAATTATCAAAGTAAGTTAAAAATCTTCTAAAGAAGATTAATTGGAGTCATTACAGTTATTCTTTTTAAATAAATTTGACCTTGACCCTCTTATAAAGTCATAGATGTGAGATGAAAAACACTTGAGCGATACAGGCCTGTTGAGCTTCTTGTACTTTGTTATAATGGTTTACCAGAACATTCTGATAAGTAGGTCACCCAAAGAACTGTTCTCCCTACCGTGGCCTTACTGGACCTCTGTTCCCATATACTGCTCACACGCGGTGTTTTTTACCATGCATATTATATGAACTTGCTAACCCTCTGTCCCAGCACACAACCTCATGGATGTGTTAATACAAACAAACCCGATATGCACTTTACCAACATACATCTGTGTACTAATGTCGGTGTATCCATGAAGGGACATTGTTTAGATAAATATTGATGTATTTATACTATAGTATTAGTTTAAAAAGTAATTGTTTATCTTATGTTTTATATTTTATAAATATCCACACATTCCTTTCTATAACAAGTTGATATTTCAGACACTTTAAACCATAAATAAGAGGATAAAGTACTATTAGGGTCTCCCAGGCTCTTGAACAGGTGTTACTGTACCCTAAACAAACACTTTGGTATTTTGGCTAATATTGGGCGTAAACAATCTATATAAGCACAAACAAATACACAGTTGGAATATTGTATAGAATTGTAGGCAGATCTAATTAAATACCTTTTCTCAAAGTAGAATTGGTTTTAAAAAGTAAGTGTCTAAAAATGATATCCAAATAATTAGCATATTGCATGGCATTTAAATTAAGAATTTCAAAGTTATGATTTTGTAATTATTTCTAAACTTAACCTGTCCATGAAACCATAATCACCAGCCAATAAAGCTGATATACAGTTTAATTGACATAAAAGTATCATGTAGTGTAAACTTTGGGCTTTGTGAACATCTGGCTATAACATATATATATTAAATTAATTTAAGGTACAATATGACTAACAGGTGAGTGATACAGGCCCATTGGGCTTCTTCAGCGATGTTCCAATGGTTTACCAGAACATTCTGATGTACGTCACCTCAAGCTTTTCTTCCTACCATGACCTTTTTTTATATTTATTTTATTTTCAAAAGAGTTTTTTCAATACAGTAACAATAGTAATGGATCAGTAATTCATTCAGATCATATAATAACCTATTTGTCACCATTCATCTTTCATATCACCACTCATACCATACAAATTATGCAAATAGAAATTTGTATCACTAAAGACTGCATATGGATAGGTATTATTTCATTTAATATCACACTGTATTGCTATAAGGAAGAAGGAAGGATAAAAGGAAAGAAAAAAAAGCTGGTATAAAAACAAAAAAGAGAAAGAAGAAAAGAAAAGTTAAAGACAGATATCAGAACAAGCATGTCAGGGAAGGAAGTCAAAACAGAGCTAGATACTAATTAAAGTTATGTAACAGAATTGTTACTGAATAATTAAGATATCAGCCTAAGTCATGTCAGGTTTTAGGCAAAATCAACCAATTTCATCCATTTCACCTACCATGGCCTTACTGGACCTCTGTTTCCATACGCTACCTATATAGGTACTGGTTTACTTACCATGGCCGTGCTGACCCTCTATCCCAGCACACAACCTCACTGGTTTTGTTATATTATGCACCCTATCAAAATATATATGTGCACTACATGTCTACAGGGGCCTTGTGAAAATATGTCTTTACTGTAACAAATACAGTATATACATTTAAGGAGCAATACAATCTTAACCAGTATGTTTTTTTAATATATATTTACAATTCCCTTTTGCTTCTTTTTAACTTTATCATGTTGGACAATCAATTGATAATAAAATCTTAATATTCAGCTTTTCTTTCGTATGGCGAAGCCTAATTGGGTTACAGGGGTGCCAATCTTTATGAGAAGTTCCTAAAGTATCCAAACAGTTCAATAAGCTTCAAGAATTTACCCAAGTCATCCAAGTTGAGATCCCTATACCTCAACTCTAAGAGAGTAAAATATTATATCAATCTCACCTGCATAGCTGGGTGTCCCCCTGGGACATGTGTAGGAGCTTCTCAGGATTTTTGTTGGCATTATATGTTATCAGCGCGAGAGAAGTGCACAAAGGTACTCTGATGTGTTGATTCTCGTTTCCATTCATATATTTTCAAAAAAGTAGATATTGACTGATGAAGAACTGCAGGACTTTATTTTGACCGATAGGAAATCTGTTTAACTGGATACAATGTACCCACAGCTTGTCTTGTGTTTGTTGAAGTGTTGTACCAACCAATTTATATTTATTCCAGAGTTCACACTTTTTAGCTGTTTATTTGGCCTAAGTCAGAAATTTTGTTATGAAAATGATCAGAATGTATGTTGAAAATGTATTATTTCTGAGACCTGATGTAAGTGATAACATGAAGAAATTGGTAAAATCAGGCTGAGAACAAGGTTGGAACTGCCAGGAGTTACAAGGATGTCAGTGTGTGTGTAATTACACTGTACATAACTTACCTCTCAACTTGGAATGCTACAGATGATAATTTGATACATGGATATATATACTTAAATATGGCATTTTATAATACATGATGTCAGAATTAAAGTTTCATCGAGAGCATTATAGAAGAAATAAATTCTGATAAAAACATCTGTGGTGTAAGGAAAAAGAACGTACTTCTTCAGTTGTTTGAATTTTGCAAAGGAATCTGTAGATTGCCTTACGTATTTTTTTAATGTAAAATATTCTCCTATAATGAAATCAAAACCAGCTATTTTACAACTGATCTACTTTTTTAGTAAATAATTGACCGTTTGTCACCTCAGTTTTATTTTTCAGAAGCAGACAACATGATGTCCAATGTGTGTGTTTTTGAGTTAGTGTGTACCATTGATTTGCTGTGCTAGTTATTTTTCATCCCCAGGATTATAGTTCCTGTTTTTAGGTCATTAGCTTATAATCAGCCAGTGGGTGTTTGTTGTTCATTACAAGCTGGTACTAATTCTGCAAAATTTCTGTAAAATTTCAAAAATTGGATATACACGATATGCAGTATTGATTACGATGCAGGCACACTTCTCTATTGCAAATAATTTTCGATTTAAAGTGTTATGACATATCAGTTGACATGAGACCATTTTAAAGCTTTATTGTTTATACAGATTATATATAGTCTGTTTTATAATTGTGTAACATTTGCAATAGTTCATTTGAGAGTAAATACCATAATAAACAAGAGTAATCTCACACCAGAAAAAGTATGAGCACTTTCTGGGTTTTTTCTTCAAACAGGTGATCATGAAACATATATTATGTCTCCAAAAATTATAATTTAAGATATTTTTGAAATGATTTACCAGTAGATTAACATAATTATGTCTGTGTTGTTTACCTAGATAATCTGCAGATAGTGGAGAACAGGTCGGTGAGTAATCTGGCTACGGTGGCAGTCCTGCCTATATCAAAGGATGTGCCAATCTCAACGTTCACCCTGGAGCTCCAGAACGCCCTTAAAGCCATAGGTAGGTACTCATCGGTACAACCAAGTATCTTAAATAGACCTTTGACAAAGATGTGGGATTTGTATATATATAATACAGTTTCTGCGATCTTTATGATTTGACATTGGAACAAGATTAACTCCTGAGTGATTGACTTGTGTCCAATGTTTATTACTTTCTGTTGAAATTAAGGGTTTTCATGGCTACTGAAGAATATTGTCGCAGTATTTCTACCTGGAGCTTTAATGTAGCTAAAACTTTGAAAACAGTATTTAGAATAGTTACCAAGCAACTGTTCATTGTAATTCATGTAAGTTTATCTGATATCAGTGTCATGTTTTAAACAAAATACATACTGTATATTACTCATTTAATGTGTTTTTAATTGTAATAGAATGTTAGTGGTCAGTTTATCTGTTACCATGTGTGGTCAATGTTTTCTGTTGATCTTTCCAGGGCCTACAACCAGGCTGACCAGTCAAATTGTGAAGTCCAGAATGGGAGGGGCTGCACTGGACAGGTCAGTCAACTCTTCAGCAGGAATGCATCAACATTTGAATAGAAAATTAGTTATTAATATAAATTGCTTTTAAAGCACAAATAGCATAAAAGAAAGGTCTTTCATAATGGTTAATATGAGTATCTGGAAGTTGCTTTCTACGTTCACTTTTACCTATTTGCAGTATCCTTGAGTTCTACCTTTTTGTGGACTCGGACCTTCTATTCAATATATGAGTCCTCTCTGATTTTGAACTATGACCTTCTGTTTATAGTACATGTATATAAAAGTTCTGTTTATGACCTCTAACCTTCTGTTCATAGTACATGTATATAAAAGTTCTGTTTATGACCTCTAACCTTCTGTTTATAGTACATGTATATAAAAGTTATGTGTACTGGGGGGGGTATGACCTCTAACCTTTGATCTTCTATTCAATATATACGAGTCAGGTTTTTAACTCCGACCTTTTGTCTAAAGCACAAGTATAAACAAGTTCTTCCTGTTAGTCGCCTCTGACATTTTGTTTATAGTATCCACAAGTTCTGTCTTTTCATGACATCTGACATTCTGCTTACAGTTTCTTCCTGTTTCTGACCTTTGACCTTTGATTCAATAGATACAAGTTCTGTCTATTTTGAGCTCTGACACCAGTTTTGCCTGTTTGTGACCTCTGACCTTTCGTTTACAGTATCCATGAATTCCGCCTGTTTAACTGGCTGGGCCACCAGGAGGATATGCATCGAATGACCCTGTATGAGTGTGACTATACAATGACGAAGTGGACAAAGAACTGTATACGCCAGGCCGACTGTATCCTCATCGTGGGTCTGGCTGACAATGACCCTGCAGTAGGAGAGGTAAACACTTGGGTGTATTTAACTAATATTTTCATGTATATTTACATGATTCTTTGTGATTTCCAAGATAAGATAAAACCTGCTTTAAAAGATTAGAGTACCTTTGGAATATATTAAATGCCAATTTATGTCATTGTAATTAATTCAAAAATTAAACAAATGCTGTAGTTTGCCTCAAATTCTCATAAGGAGAATCTATGTCAAGCAAGCATATGGAAACATGTGTCAGACATACAAAATATTGTACCATTATGTTCCTGAAATACCAGATATCTACTTGATAATGTACCTTTAAACATGTTGTGTTATTTGGGGAACATGTATTATGGAGATCAGTATATTGTGTTGTTTAGGAAACCAGTATCTTGAGTTGTTTGGAGTAACATTATCATATGTTGGTTGTAGGTGGAGAAACAGATGGGGAATATCTCTGTGCGAGCCCAGAAGGAGCTTGTCTTGCTGCACAAGGAGGACGGAGATAAACCCAAGGGCACGGTGGAGTGGCTAAATGCCCGCGGCTGGTGCTCATCCCATCACCACATCCGATGTCCCAAACGTGTCTTCTCTAAACGCCCTGAAGACAAAATTGTATGTTCACCAGGCAACAAAATATCCATTGTTCTTGTTTATTGTCTTCAGTTTCTATTGGAAAATCTGAAAAAAAATGACATAAATATTTGTATACTGATAAAACTGTTAATCCTTACAAAGGTAATGATAAAACATTCTAAAAGTAATATTTCCCCAAATCGATGTTATATTGATAATGTAGCACTGAGAGATGAGTGTCTAATTGATTGATGTAGATGAGATGTAAATAATGTCTACAGGTTTGCCATGCTTTGTTCTAATACCTTTAGTTGGAGTTATACAACAAACTATTTGAGACTGAACCAGACAGACAGAGCGACTTTGGAAGACTGTCCAGATTTCTCACCGGCACTTCCATTGGTCTGGTCTTGGGAGGGGGAGGAGCCAGGTAAGTTACTCTGAGGACATAGGTTCCTCTATTGGTAAGAAAGTGTATGGCCACATTGGTTATTTTTTAATGTCTGAAAAGCAACTACAGTTTCCTTTAACGCAACTTTTTAGGTCACCTGAGACAAAATCTCAAGTAACCTATTTCGATCGCCTTTTGTCCGTCGTGCGTCCGTAAACAATTTACATTTTCGACTTCTTCTCCAAAACCCCTGGACCAATTTCAATGAAATTTTGCAGTAACCTTCCATGGACAAAGGTCAACAAAAATAGTGGCCGGTTTAGTCCCAAGCCCCCAGGGGCCTGAGGGGCGGGGCCAAAAAGGGTCAAATTGACTAAAATTTCAAAAATCTTCTTCTCAAGACCCAGATATGGTAGAATCAAATACTC